CTTCGGAGCTCCACCCATTCTTTTCTGCTCTGCAAGCTTCAAACTTGGAACTGAGGACTTAAGGATACTCTGGGGACGATTCGCCACCACTGGTATCAAGTAAACCAGAAACTGAGATCTTGAGAGCTGTTGCTAGGCTTGTCCTTGTAGCATTCTCACGCTCCATTTGGGATCTGGAGAATGCAGTTTAGGAGGAGGTAGGTGGCTGCCTATTTTTTAGCTGCAGCCTCAAGAGGAGCACAGTCAGTGTAGATATATGCCCTTAGCTGAGGAAGTCTAATAAGTCTCCAGTGAACACATGCTTATAAATTAGCTAAGAATGAGCAGATATAGTTTCAAGGACAGTGAAAGGCTCATTGGTAGTCCCAGGGCAAACCCTATGCCAAATTTCAAGCACACTCCTTGAAACATTAAGGAACCAAAGCTTCTCAAATAAAGGGTTATACATTTTTTTAAATATGGGCAAAAGAGCACATTTTCCCCCAGTCTCATTCCTGGAATGGGTTGATTCCTCCCCCAATATTTAAAAAAAAAAATCATCCTTAGGTACATAACTGGTATGAAAACATTGAACCCAAAAAAATTATGTTTGGCAGAGTTATAAGAAACTGACAACAGGTTCTCATGAGAAGCACTAAGCAACCTTAATTGCAATGGGTGTTGTCAGCCTTACATATAATGATGATGATAATGTCTTCAGTCCTGAATTACAAACTTTTAAAGCAACTCAGAACTGCATCTGTGGGCCTTCTGAACTACAAAACTTACTTGTTCATGCTTAAATAATTTACTTGACAAAGGCTGCACATATGTTGCTTTTCATTTTGTTTTAACTATTTTCTATGCAGATGTACATTAAAATTAAGAGGCATAATTTTTACAAGGATTTTAAGAGTTGTAAATCAAACACTAAGTGGCAAGGTCTGGGAAAGAGCTAGAAATATGCTGTGTAACCTTGGACACATCCATACATGTGCTTTAACGCGCAGTAGCCTACTGTACTGTGCATTAAAGCTTCACAGCAAAAACTGTGCTAATAGTAAAATTAGGCTACTGAGCATTAAGCTTCACTGAAAAAACATGTACTTTTGCTACTGCACATTAGGGAAGTCTAATGCACATATACATTAGAGGTACTAAATTTAATTCACAATAGCAAAAGTGCATTAATGAACATGTAGATGCAACCCTTTTTAAGGATCTCAAGTCTGTCTCTCTCCTTTTCCTCTGTTCCAAGAGAAAGATAGAATAACCTATTTCCCACTTTTGATATTGAAAATGTACAGTCTTATTGAAAAGAAAGAATGATTCATTCAATATTCTGAGAAATTTTGCAATTTTCATAATGAGAAAGTAGGAATACAAAGTTGGGAAAACTACAAAACACCACAGGTTTAATTTAGCAAACCTTATTTTCCTCAGTAACACTTACTCACAGGACCCACTGAACTAAATCTCTAAGACCTTCCTCGGTCTCTGTTGAGAACTTTTTGAAAACTTCAGCAGCCCTAAACAAAACTATCCCTGTAAACAAGGATTTGCAGGACTATAGAAGAACACTGAAGAATTGCACAAAGTGGGATTGCCCCCCTGCATGGTTATGGGAATATGTCCTTGATTGTAAGCATAGGATGTAGTTGTTAAATCCATGTTGCAACTTTAACCCTGTTTCATTCATGGTTGACAGTATGAAGATTTAGCTCATTGTATCCTCACAGTAGCATAGGGAGGTAACAATTACAGCATAAAAATGGATGGACACTCCTAAAGTAACTCCCCTACCCTTTTAAAATGATTAAAAGCTACCTCTGTCTACAGCCCAGAGATTGCATTTTTTAATAGTGTCATTTCTAAGTACTTTAACTTCACAAAAGGAAATTTAGAAAGTGTTTTTATTTTAAGCTATAACAAACAACAAGAGATTTCCTGATCAGAAAAGTACAGAAGATTTACAAAACTGTAAGAGAAGGAAGGAAACTGAACCACAGAAATAACATGCAGCCATATGCAGCTGATAGGACATGCTGTTGGTCAGGGTGAAGCTATTTGACATTCTACTATATTCACAAAGCCATCAGTCAAACACGTCTACACCAGAGAATTTCTCATTTGGGGAGGGTGGTCACCTCAAGTAAGAAACCAAATTATGCCTCTGCCTACACATGATTTCTTCCCCTAAATTAAAAGCAACAGAAAAATGTTGAAAGTGTCATCCTAACCTAATGACAACATGGATAATTTGCCTTTACAGTACATATAGGCTACCTATACACATGCGGGGGGAAGGCGGGGGAGTGGTTCCTAGAGAGCCAATCTAATTAAAATACCACACTGACAGATGTATTAAGCGCCTGCACATTTAAAAATGGCTGTAGAATGTTTTAAATAAATTTGGTTAAAGTTGCCCAGTGGCCATTTTTAAACCCAAAGGTCTTATACATGTGACACTGTGATGATGCTAGAGCATTCTAATTAGAATGTGGAGCAGACTCAATAAATCAAGCCTGCTCTAACACGTTCTAATTAGAATGCATCAGAGCACATGTATAGACACCCATACTTAGTAGATATGCCAGAAACTACTGCCAGCTATTGATATGATTCACATTCCATAGCTGTGGTGTTTGGACATTGGAATTGCGGTTAGATGGACTATAGAGCTGTATTGCAGAGCTATACAGCTATATACATACATCAGTTTACGGTTCTTTAACTGGAAGTGTTCCAAAACACCAACTATACTTATGTTAATACCAAATATTTACAGCACTGTCACTTCAAAAGTCTGGCAGACTCATGGCTTCTTACGCACCACTTGCAGTCACCATTTTCTCCGGCAGTGTAAATCCCCACAGCCATTTTGAAGCTTTAAGTGTGTCATTTGTGTTGGAAAAGCATGTTCAGCCTTGCCAAAAATGGACGTTTAATCTCAAGTAATGGCTATGGGGACCTGCTCTTTTCCCTAGCTGCAGACTGAAGGTGGAGGCTGCTTTTAACACAGGGATCAGCAGGGGTCTTTGTTTGAGTGCCATAAATGCAAAATCAATATTTTCTGAGACTTCTGAGATTTTTTTGGAATGTGAAAGGAACTTTTGCTGCTAATGTTCAAAGATGTTGTGGCATAGAAAGCCCCATGCCTTTTCTCCTTTTTCCCCCAAATGAATTTTATTTCTTTTTTGTTCCTTCACTCTGCTTTTGTTCCTCACATTTTGCCCCATTTTCTTCCTTCCCAGCTTTTTTGTTTCCTTGAAAATTCCTTTCACATCCTTCCTCCCTGCTCTCCTCTCCTTTTCAGTCTTCTTGTTCTACCTCACTGTTCAGTTCTCTATGCAAGTGAAGCAGGAAAGTGAAATGCCCAAGACTGATGGTGAATACTTCCTCTACATTTTCCCATTGGCAAATTGTGAAGGGAAATCAAATAAAGTGACAGGGGAGAGGAACAGAGGCTCCTCATTGTGCCAGTATAGTGACTTGGCCTACCACACTCTTTATAAGTGCATCATCCTTATTTTCAGGCATGGTATCTTCAGGTTTTAATCTGGAAACAGCCTCATAGCCATAAGAAGCATATAAGAAATCCTTGTTCGGTGAAAGTAAAGATACATGTAATTTATAGAACATAAAATTTAAGTACACTGTGAAGGAAAACCATCAAACTGACACCTGGAGTTTTAACAATGCTATCAGAACACATTTGTGCTTCACTCTATTCTTATAGTACCATTTGGACACTGTTGATTGTTGTATTCATGGGCAGGATTCACAAAAGACACCCAAAGGTATGTCTACACCAGGGGTGCTCAACCTATGGCCTGCAGGACAGGCCAAATGCTCAACCTCCAGCCCACGCACCCATTGCATCTGGCTGACAGGGTAGAGATATTTGCATCTGGCCCGTGTGTAGGAAAATTAGACAGTAGGGGAGCAATGGCCATTAATAATACCACCCTTACTTGCTGCCAAATTCCCATGCCCCCTCCCCCCACACAGCCAGATTGGGGCCAGGCCACAACCCCTTCCTCCTGTGCAGAAGTAGGGCTGTGCCAGGCCCCCTTCTCCTTGCATGGATGGATCAGGGCCAAGCTGCTCCCCACTTCCCTCCCACAGTGATCCAACCTACAGATGGAGCAGGCACTGACCAGGATAAAGATTGGGTACCACTAGTCTACGCCAACGATTTTCAATTAGTGCACCATGGGTAGGTTGTGCAAACACCTACACATGATTCATAAAACAAACCCAGAGATTTCCAATAGGAAATCAATACTGTCAAAAATATTCTGCTCTGCTGTAATCTTTCTGAGTTCTTTGGAACAGAACAACTGCCCCATTATTTTTCCATAATCAACATTCAAATGAAAGTTTAGAGCCATTTTCTGAGGGGAGCCTTCAGCTTAGCGAAGAGTGCCTTGACTCTAAAAAGGTTGAGTATCACTGACACACCATGTCAAAAGATAGTAGGGATTACTGTTGTAAACATGTACTCACTCATTCCATCCCACTCTGCATAAGCCAAAAAACACATCATATAGCCACTTCTTGACATGAGGGCCACTCTCATGTTCATAGTCTTGGACATGCTCATGCGAGGTGCTCCAAGATATCTTTTAGGCACACAACACACGTGAAGCAGGAGAAAGTGGCGGTGGGTATTTCCATAGCAGTGTTCCTTAGCACCAGCTGACACAGGCCTAATTAATGAAGGGCCAAAAGTCCCAGTCCTGCCCTGTGGCTTTCTATGTGAATATTAATCTTGCTGTGCAAGTGTACACTGCCTTCTAGATTGAAAAGTTATCTTCACCAGGTATTAACATGCCTGAAAAGCTTCTATTTGCTTATTTTTCTAAGCAGGAAAGCAATATTTTGTATTTCTATTTATCTCTGAGTATGTGTGTGTATCTCTGCAAATATTCAGTTATGTGATATATGAGTGACCATGTACAATACAAACTAAAAATGCTATCATAAAAAAAAAAATCAATACTTTGCAGAATTCTTACCTTATTGCACTCGCAGATAAGTGGCCATAGGAACCACTAGCTGAAGAACTGCTACGAGAATTATTGAGAATTGTGACCAAGGAGTTTGGAGATGTTCGTATCATGGTCTGAAGGTCAAAACTATGATCAGACAAGGGCGATATGGACAGTGTACGCTTTCGGCTTGGTCTAGCTGACAGCCTTGGACTTGGAAACCTGGCGCCTGTTATGTAAACAAAAATAATTATCCACCACAGCACTCTACCCCATTTATTTATTATTACTGGCGATGGCTATAAAGAATCACAAAACACCAACATGATGCTCTTTCCACTTGTGATCTACTGGCTACAATTGAGGAAAATTAGGAAGAAAAATTTATCTTCCTGTGGCTTACCTCAGGGGAGCTCTGTTTATTAATGTGCAAGCAAAATGATAAATTGCTAAACAAAAGGAAAAGACTTTTATGTGTTATCCTTCTCATTTCTGGTGATTTATGAATCTGATGGCTGCTTAGACATTCACATCATTAATTCAACCACAAGCGATGAGATAGTAGTTCAGATCTGAGCTACCAGCCAACCCAAACCCCTGCCACTTCAATTCAAACAGCCAAAAATAGACTTCTAAAATACAAAATAGAGATTAAGATGCAGCTTTTCCTTTGCTAATCAGAAAGCCACATGGCCAAGGCTGGATGCAAAAATAAAAAGGAGCAGGATGTAAAAATAAAAAAGATGGCAAAAGTAATGTTAGCAACTTTTCTATCAACAAAAGTAATCAATTTGACATTCACAGCATTAGGCTATGAAACATTAGGATTTTATTTTAATTTTTCAAGCATTTAAAGATGTGCGGGGGGGGAGAAGGGGAAGGGATGCATCTACATCTATATAGGTCTCTATTTTTTTTTACCATAGGTTTAACTATTCAAAGCAGCATATGGGATTCAGCCACACACCTTCCATTAAAAGGAACAGATAATGAATGGTTAAGTTCTGTGCACAGCTTAACCATAAAGTTTATCCCTTCCTTGATATGCAGCCACAACTCCCAAATCTGTGAACATTGATTCATTTCCATCTCCATATAATTTTAACAAAAGTTCTAGAGCTGAAGTATTTGCTTTAAGAATACCACCACCTCCATATTTTATGCTAATAACCTTAATCAGAAAAAAAGGATTGTGTCATGGAAATTTCATGTCCACTGCTTTGCATCCTTTCAGTTCAAGTCCTATTCTTCTAAGAACTCTTAGATAGCTTGAGGTTCTGTGCAAGCAGTCAACGACTAGTCACAGATTTCTCTTCTGGCTCTTTTTCTCTTTCCTTATGCTTCTTCCCACCTGGTGCTAAATACTGTGGTTCACTGGGACACTTAGACTTGTTTATGACATATGAGTGCTATTGACAGCAATGGGACTATTCATGGGCATTAAATTAAGGAAATTTTTGAGTACACAGATTCCAATTAATAATTTTTTTTTTTTATAAACAGCGGATATAGGAGAGTTGTTCTTTTCCTGGATCCTCTGAAGTTCTTTGTCTACTTATCTTATATCTTCTGTGGATTCCCAACTATATTCATTTGAAGGGTGCATAATCTAAAGCATCTCTTGACCATGACTGGTGGTTTTACTCACGTGTGGCTTCAACTGCAAAGATATATCAGTTCCACTTACCAACCACCTGCAGAACTCAACAACTGCAGCAAATCCATGGTATGTACCATGATTCTCTCCTGACTCTATGATTCCCATTGCTTTCCTCCTAATTCTTCTACTTTTATTCTGTTTAAAGGGCAAAATGGCACTGAATAATGAGGCTTGCCTCAATTTTCATTGCTGCATTGTTTTCACTTTACTTTTTTCCTTTGGCATCTCTGTGGGACACTCCTCTTTCTGTGTATTCAGCCAAATATTATACTTGATATTTGATGTTATTACTTCAAATTTTAAAGCATTTTTAAAGGTACAACAAACTTGTTTATGTTATCTGTTTTGTCTCTCTCTTTATGAGCTTCCTACTGTACTGTGTGTCAATTAGCTACTTTAGTAAGTACAGTGCCCTGAAACTTTGAAAGGCTGATATGAGAAGTGGCAATAAAAAGTTGTTGTGTATTTAGTAAGCACATACAAGATCCAAGATAAAGCAATAATTAAATCATAATATTCTGTACTCATTATAGAACTTAAGCTACAGGCCAGATCTGCAGCTAATGTAAATTAGTACAGTTCAACTAAAGTCAGTGGAGTCATGTCAGTTTGCTTCAGATGATCATCTCAATCATAGTGCTTTGGAAATGAGTAAACGCTATTACACTACCTCCATTTTACTGAGGGGATATCAGAAGCACATTTATTCTGGTCATACAACAAATGGGACAGGGAAAAGGACCCCTGTGCATCATCCCACTAATGATCTGTGGGGAAGGAGGAAGGTGGGTAGGGCTGGGGCTGCTTTCCAGCTGGGGGGTGTGTGGGGCTTGGGGCCCGGGGCCACAATGCATGGCTGCAGGACCCCAGCAAGTAGCGGGATGGGCTCCCGGGTGGCTTGTCTAGGGGACTGGAGGGTGGGGCTGGCTCCCTGCTGCAGCGCGCACTCCCGAGCGGGGCAGGGAGGACCTGCGCCCCCCAGATCTGTGTGTGGGGCAGGCAAGGGCTGAGGGCGTGGACTCCCGCCCTGCTGCCCTCACCTGGGGCCTCCGCAGCCTGGTGGGCATGACCCAACACGGCAAGCCACAGAGGGGCCATACAAAGAAGCTGCTTGCTATCGTGAGCTTCACGCTGCCCAGGCGATGCACCTCCTGTGCATGGAGCTGCTTTGAGGGCAGTGGCGCAGGGTTGCACCCCTCATTGCATCCCCACACACAGGAGGCGCGTCGCCAGGGCAGCACGGAGCTCACAGTGGTGAGCAGCTTCTCCGCATGGCCCCACTGTGCCCTGCCACACTGGCCCCTTAGTTGGCCTCTCTAATACCTGCACCAGGTCCTAGATGCCTGTGCATTGTTGTATTACCCTCCCAGCAAATGTCAGAGTGACTGAAGTCCCCCATGAGACTCAGGGCCTGTGACTGGGAAACTTCAGCTAGCTGTTTGAAGAAAGCCTCATCCACCAATTCCTCCTGGTCTGGTGGTCTATAACAGCCCCCCCCATGACATCACCCTTGTTTCTCTCCCCTCTGACCCTAACCCAGAGACTTTCAACAGACCTATCTCGTTTCGTACTGGAGCAATGAGCAATCATACAGCTTTTACATAAAGCACAACTCCTCCCCTGTGATCACTCCTCTTCTCCCCTGCCTGTCCTTTCTGAACAGTTTATACCCGTTCAGGACAGTGCTCTGGTCATGCGACCCATCCCACCAAGTCTCTGTTATTGCAGTCAAGTCATAGTTCCATGACTGTGCAAGGACTTTCAGTTCTTCCTGCTTGCTTCCCAGGCTCAATGAATTCATATACAGACATCTGAGGTAACTAGCCAGTTGCCCTACTTTCTCAGGAAGGCCTTCACTGTTGCCCCTTCCTGCCTGTGCTTCCTCCAGGTCCCTTGCTTCCACACTTACCTCAGGGCTTTGATCTCCATCCTGTGGCGGACCTAGTTTAAAGCCCTCCTCACTAGGTTAGGGGGACTGTCTGTGATGATGCTCTTCCCTTTCTTTGTCAGGTAGATCCCAACTTTCTTAGCAATCCTTCTTGGAACAACATCCCATGGTCAGAGACGCCAAAGCCCTGCTAGTGACACCATCTACAAAGCCATGCATTGATCTGCAGGATGTATCTGCTTCTTCCCAGGCCCGTCCTCTTGACTAAAGGGATTGAGAAGAACAGCACCTGAGTCCCTGTCCCTTTCACCCAGAGCCCTGTAGTCACTTTTGATCTGTTCAGGGTCTCCCCTGGCAGTATCACTGGTGCCCACTGGATAAGCAGTATGGGGTAGCAGTCAGAAGGCCAGACAAGTCTCAATAATTTTTCCATGACATCTTGGATCCGGGCCCTGGACAAGCAGTAGACCTCCCAAGACAACAGGTTAGGCCAGCAGATGGATGCCTCTGTCCCCCACAGAAGACAGTCTCCAACTACCACCACCTGTCACTGCTTTTTGTTGGCAGTGGTCTCAATTCTATCAACTTTGGGGAAGCCTGGGCTGGCATATTCCACCAACAGAATGTGCTCCTCCTCCTCTGATGCAATGGTTCCATATCTGTTATCTCTTATTATTACTTCTGTTATCTCCATAGCTCTGACTGGAAGTTAGGCTGCCTGCTAAGTGACCATAAGCATGGTTGGGGTTTGCTTCTTCCACAGTCAGAGCCTCAACTCAGTTTAGCATCAGAACCATTTGAACTATGACACCAAATCCTTAAGCCCCATATACTAAATAAGTGTCACCTACATCTGAACTAGTTCTTCAGGTCCTGAAGAGATGGCTACTGAGTACTCAGTGTGCACTCCAGACTCCCCAAAAATGCACACTTTTCTCCTCTCCCTTTCCCCTCTGAAGAGAACCATCTCTTCATTCTCTACCACTGTCCTAAGTTATACTCTGGCTCTTGTAAAAGGTCTCCCTCCCCCAAATCCTCTCTAAACCTCCCTCTTCTTCTCCAATTGCTGTTAGCAGCCACTCTGCTCTTCAGAACAAAGCCAGTCTAGGCTCCATGCCAGAACATCCCAACCTCTCATTCTGGAGAGATGACAGCTGTGGCTGTAGTTGAAGAGGTGGGAAATATTAAGCGAAGTGGATGTATAGCAGGGAGCCTAAACTCAGCCTGATTATTTGATAGCCAACAACCTTTTCTTCTCCTTGGGACAATTCCTTGATGGTTACCTCACCTAGATATGGAAGACAGTCAGCCTTCATCATTCACTTGGGATCTGGCCAATTTCCTGAGGGTCAATAGTTTTTGCATGTAAATGAAACATTCCTGTTGTATAGTAGAAGATGATAATTATAGCTGAATGAGAGCTCTACAGGATTCGATAATGGAAGAGTGGGTTTGGCTTCAAACAAGGACGCAACTTTCAAAATGGAAAATACAATTAAGCGGAATTACTGTTTTCCTGGTCTTCACAGTTTAATTAGGTTTTAAATACTTAAATTTTTTTAAATGTGAAATAACCATTTATTATACTGCAAAATGTTTTAAACCATTCATTTAGCATAATATCATTCTTAATTAGTATATAACTATAAAAAGAAAAAGACTACAATTAATAAGCATCCCT